ATAAATCCAAACATTAGGTCCAGGTTATAAGACATATGAGACTAGGTAACTACATATAATATCGATTCTTACCTTAAAAACAACAATAAAATACGTTTTCTTATCTTCAAACTGTTCCGTGGCATACGCATATGTTGGCAAGTTGAACAAACCCATGAGGGATCCATTCTGATCAGTTAAATCAAACTGGGTGAAGATGCCCAGGCGACATTGCTTCCTTATGTACTCCAACATGATCCTCACAGGACAGACTGGGTTGACCAGTAGCATCTTCTCAACTGAGGTGTCAGGAAGCTCGGAAGAACGTGGATACAAGGGAGAGAGTTCTGGGGGATCCTTATAAATTATGTAAATAAACATTATGAAAATTCCTGGTAAATATTCGACCCGATAAGAAATAACTTGCTACTTGTTACTATCGCAACTGTCATATGTGACAGTTGAAAAGTGAGGTTAGCTTTTGGTTTTGATCCCTGCGTAATCGAAATATGATTTATTTCCCAAGAGGCTTTATGCTAACTATTTAGGTACTGTTATTTTAACCTCTTTTTATTATTATAAACAAAACATTACCCAAAAGTGACAAAGCATGGTATCTGATAAAAGTTCCATAAATTCAATTTATAATTTTGTGTACCATATTCTCTTCACAAAAAAATGGGTTAATAGCACGGAACAGAAGTGTTCCGTGGTTATTAGGGATTTAAGGAAATGGGATTTAAGGATTGAGGATGAGGGAGAAGGATTGGGCCACCCCTAACCTCACTCATACGGCGAAACACACCGTAAGTGTTACTTCACGCCGGCTTTCTGTGAGGCCGTGGTATCACTCCGGTCGTATCTCTCCTACACTCCTACAATTCAATTTCAACCTTTTATGTAGGTAAATACCTACTTATCTAAAGAATGAATCATTATTTACTGCCTAGGTAATCAATCTGTTGCAAGCGACATCTGACGGAATCAACATTGCAACACAATTGGTTACCTTACCGAACTAATCAATCATTTTGTTACTACATTTACGTTGTTACATTATTTAGATAATGCATTGGGTGCGCTTTTGTTTCACCAAACGCAACGCAAACATCTAATAGTAGAGTAGTAGGTACATTCAGTCTAGAGGGCGCTACTGTATAGATAATATCTACCACGCGGAAAATTGTGAGTGGACCCAAAGTATTATTGGTGCCCTTACTTAAGTTTTTTCTTCACCAAATCGATGCCTTTGTTTGAAAGCTTATCTGTTTATTAAAAGCGGATATTAAAATTAAAAAATGGTAAGGACTTACAATTTTTTTTGACTACCATTTTTGAATTGTTTATAGTCCAATTTAAAATCCATCCTATTATTTCCGATTTTTGTTTATAATTTTTTTTATATATTACGTTAACGATTTTCTCCTGTGTCGTGGGTGCGGTTACAAACATACAATTTCACATACACATGACACTCAGACCCGGAACAACAATTTGTGGATCACATAAATAGTTGTTCCGTGCGGGAATTGAACCCGCGACACGTTGCACGGCAGTTAGTTGGCCAGCCACCGCACCAACCGTGGAGTCACTCAGTATTCAATTGATGTCACGACTAAGCTTGGAATTTTAAGAAATTTCGAGTCCATCATTAAAATATTTTTGTTCAATAAACAGCAAAATATAAATAAAACACGGTTCACATATGTAGGTCGTTAACCTCTTGCAATATATTCTTATCAAGGGAAGCGTCTATGCAAATCCAACGCACTTGTGAAACCTACCAGCCACGTCCACGGGGCGAAGGTAGATCTATACAACTGGTAATACTAGTTTTACATTTTCTCTTCATCTCAAGTGTCTCAGGAACATTATACTTCAAAGATTGGTCCCGTATGTAATTACAATACGGGTCGGAGCTGTATGAAACAGTTAAAATAATGTATAGCTAGTAAGATTGATAAATTCAAAACACCTTTTTTGTGGGGGGAAATCATCAATACACTTCTCACACCCTGAACGGGCTGAGAGAGAGAAACAGACTTCTTTTATTTCTTCTCCTACTCTAAGCCGGGGTCGCGACACATGATTGGGGCTGGGTTACGCCTGCAACCTTGGAATACCCTAACTTTTTGTGTGGGTCAGCTCGACCAGCGAGATACCACAGCCTAACTGAAAACGATGTGAAATATAACCATAGCATTATACATATTTCGCTGTGTGAGTGAGGTTACCGGAGGATCTTCAAAATCCTTATACCCGAAGGTCGGCAACGCCCTCGAAACTCCTCTGGTATTACGGGTGTCCATGGGTAGTGCCGCTGATTGCTTACCATCATGTATAGCGCAAATTTCTGGCGGGGAAGTAATGGAAAAAGTATAATATCATTTTACTGTAATACGTGGATGTTTTAATTTATGTTTATGTACATATTTTATAATAAACTTCATGGAAGTTTTTACTAAATGTCTGTCATACCTATTTGATTTTGTTGTTTGGGTCTCTTCATATGCAATTTCGAACAAAAGGACCAAAAGACCACTTGGCTCTTACTACCGATAAATTCTCATGGGTACTTGCTATGTTTATTTTGACGTCGATATGACGTGGGTATATAGATATCAGTGTTTATTCGTATTGATATATATATTGATATATTGATAACCCATTTCTATCTGCTTAGGTACCTGTCAGGTAGAGTGAAGTGGACGCTTTGGTTAGAAATTATCCCTAACGCCACGGTTTTTGACCGATAAAATGGTTCCCCATAGTGATACGAGATACGAATATCTAATATTTTCTTGACGCTAAAAATATCACTGTCCGATTAATTTTTTTGCAAAAAAAAAACGTTGTTTTGTTTGTGAAAGCTATGTTTTCACTTTGCATTTTTAATATTTTTCAAATTATTCATTTTGAAATAGGTAGGTGCATATATTTATCATGTTAATTTACGCAACTGTTGAAAGATATAAGGTTGTTTTTGTGATCCATGACCTATTTCGACGGAGTAATTAATTAGAAGAGGGACAATGAAGAGGACAGTATCGGTGCAGGTGGGCAGATGTATCGCAACTAGGGCGGCCTACATCGAGGGAGCGAGGCGACGCACACTGGGCCATTACAATACACTACGTCACTGGTAAAGGTCATCGGACACTGGACCCGCGCAGCCTTGACCGCAAAACACCCGCTGCTTGCGCTCACTCGCATTTCAACCGTTTCCCAACGCAAAGAATCTAACTAAAGCGATTCATATTTCATAAGATAGTTGCAACAGCGGCTGGAGGCGCCGCTGCAGTCGCGGGCGGTGCGCCCGCCGATAACGAACCGCACAGTCGTTCCGGCACGCGGCACATTTGCACGCTTGTAAACAAACAACAATTAATTGATTCGCGGATACAAATTCGAATCGAGGACCAGCGATCGATTCCGAATGATGTGACGACACAAACATCGAACTTTGAAAATGGGCATAGTGATGTGAAACAGGATTATGAGTTTATCCAGTGTATCGAGTTTAGTGACGTTTGGGGTGTCAGCGTGGCCGCCTCCGGGACCTCTGCCGGCCTCCTTCCAATTCCACCACCAGGGGTCGAACTTTGCAGTATTTCTGATACTGTTCGCTCTTTGCATGATGGAGGTAGTGGTCCTCAGGATCATTACGGAGGAGCAGGCGAGGGAGCGAGGGTCAAGGAGTGTAACTTCAATGTGGTTTGACTTGGACGACGAGTGAAGTGCTCAGACAATGAGTTAGTGAAGTGACTCAAGTGATCTAGTTTATATATCGAGGTAAAATTAAGATTGTTGTTCCATTCATCTAGTAAGTAGTTGTAGGCTGTAGAAATGATTGTGTTATGTATAAAGTTACCTGTATATATAATTAGAAGCTGATTGATGTGAGTTTAGCTACATACCTTACAACCTCCTTGGTTTTTGTATCTTTGTGTAAAATGTATATTTTAGATACAAAAACAGAATTCCTGTGCCAACATCGAATATATCTGTACCTTCAGTGAAAAGTGATATAAGTGAAAAATCATAGTTACGAGTAATTTATTAAGGTTAAAGATTTAAAAAAATCTCGTTATTTTTCTAACGTTCTAAAATAAAAAGCGATATGTGGTACGTGTAGATAATATTATAAAGATTATAAAGAGCTTGGTTTAAATAAATTATTTTGCACGGAATTTAAGTAATTAGTAAAAATAGCCAGTTATATCACCGTACACTTGAGTTTTCTTTGCTTATTTTTGTGTATTTAAATGTATCATGAAATGAATTATTTTACACATTCGGTTATCATTTTGTGTAAAATGTTATAAGGCTTGTGTTTTGGCATGTTTTGCCTGCAAATAGTTGTTGTGAGAAAAAGTGGTAAAGCTAATATGATTATTTTGATTAACAGCAACCTTTTTTCATTGTTTTATTTAAAATTCCTACGTAAATATTCAATTGTACCCCTAAACACCAATGTATTTTTTAAACTCGTGAGTGATTAATGCTACGAGCTAAAATTTATTTTGATACATTTTGTTTACATCGATGTGTTTATTGATACAAGTAATAACTATTTTCAAACGGTTTTCTTACAAAAAAGGTAAAAGTATGTTAATAGCAAAATAAAATAATAGCTTAATTAAAAAAAGCGTTTATTTAACAAACAATTCTTTTACTTTTGTATCTTGAACAGTCTTAAATCGTATGCAATCAGTCTCCAAAAATCAAACATCTTATATTAATATAATTTTCTTATAAAAAAACATAACTTTTCATAATTTTTATAAGTAATCTTGAACAGTCTTTAATCTTATGAAATCAGTCTCCAAAAATTAAACATCAGATATTAATATAATTTTCTTATTATAAAAAAACATAAGTTTTCATCATTTTTATCATTAACAGTCTTAAATTGCTTTTAAATCAGCCTCCAAAAATGAAACATCAGATATTATAATAATTTTCTTATAAAAAACATAACTTTTCATCATTTTTATCATCAATCTTAAAGTGTATTAAATCAGCCTCCAAAAATCTAACAACAGATATGTTGTAGCACTGCAACTATTCATTATCCGAAACAATATTATCAGGATCTACGTCACGCAAATTTGAGTTTGTTACCAAACCATGATAAAAATCGTGAACACTTGGATCAATGTATTCTAACAGTGATATTAAATCCCTTTTCTTTAAAACACTTATAGGAATTGGTCCATTGTAACATTTTGGAACAGCATTAATACCTACTAAACTGTAGTCTTTATTCCTTTTGTCGTAAGACATCACAAAATAATCATCACCTACGTAACTTTCTTTATATTCAAAAACCGGAAATTGTTCTTTACTAAATTTAATTACTCTTACATTCAACCATATAAACTTTTCACCCGTAGCATTAGTTTTTTTTACTGTAAAATTATTTTTAGCAAACATGGCAAAATCGTAAAAATCTGTCCACGCCATTTCAATTACTGAAAATTTATTAGTTCTAGTTGATGCACTCCTTACCAATTGACACCAATCGCGTGGGTGGTGAATATTCATTGATGTTCGTTTTTTTGCCTTTTCAATGAGCGCATGGTTACTATCAACTTCCATATGTGTATGGCCGGGTACGAGAAATTTATGTTGTATGTTCAAAAGTTGAGGCGAGTCTTTTAGTGCAAATAATAAAGCTGTGCAAATAATAGAATTTTTGTTTTGTCCTGAACATGAATCTGAATACATGATTAAGGTTTTAGCATTTGGGTGAAGCAACGGAAGTCTCACAGTGATAAATTCGTACAAGCACGAAGCTATTTGATTGGCGCCCCTGCCACCACTGCATTCTGGCCACATGTAGCAATATGCGTTATCCGTCGTAAAATCGTGGATTGTCAGATTAAAGACCCATAGTTGTCTTTTATAAAATGCTGATTGAGTATTCAGCATAGGAGTAGGTAGACATTGTTGTAAATCGAATGCAATAACACAAACATCCGAATTAGTTTTAGCCAAAGCCTTATCTTTGCGTTTTTCAGTGTAAGCACTTTCGTAACTTTCCTGATGTAGTCTCAGTTGCTCCCGTACTTGTACAATTTGTTCAGCATCTTGTAAATATTGGAGCTTATTTTGTAATAAGTTACATTTATTGCATGTATCTATACTAGGCTTTTTAAATGATAAGTTCATATCTTTAAAAACTTTGCCATATACAGTTTTACAGACGGGGTTACTATTCTCTTTACAATAAAGCTGATACATAGTATTGAGGGAAAGGTCGGAGCTAAGGTACTTCTTAGCAGTCTTGGATCGAGAGTAATGGCTTTCGTACGCCGGGAATTTATTGATATGCTGTTCTACGTCTTTCAGTCGCTCGTTAGAAATTTTTTTGTAGCTGGCAGCACGCCCCCTTTCGCTTTTAGTTACACGACCATACTTTTTTATTTTTTCACACACGGTCTGAAGGAAGCGATTACTCTCACCAAGAGTTTTCAAAAGACAACTTTTACATATTTTGTAATCCTCATCAAAATAAACTATTTTATATGTATTGCTGTATTCTCGTTTTCCTTTGCCTTCAATTGTATGTGTTTTTTTCTTATTAATTTTAATAAAGCGTTCAGTATATTTAGCTCTCTCATCGTACGAACCTAAACCCCAGTACTCTTTAAAAATAAATTCTCTTATGTCATGGGATATACGAATATTGCATTTCATGCGACAGTCCGTTAGTGGGCCCAAATTTCTTTCAGGTTTCATTTTACCCAGTTTAGTAACATAACTCTTGCCTGCATTGCGTAACATTAATCTAGATTGTCTATCTGCCCTTCTTTCCTTTAATGATTTTCGTTGTTTTTCATTTGAATGCGAGCATCCAGGTTCTGGTCCTGAGGTAGTGCTATCTGAGTCATCAGAGCTTTCAGGAATTATCAGTTTTTTGGTATATCTTTTCTTTGGTTTACCAGTCGACGTGCTTGTGTCGGTTGAGTCGGTTTCACTGTTTGGTATAAAATCATCACTGCTACCCGAGCTGAAATCTAAAATTGTAGGTGATAGTCCAGTTTCCTTACCCTCTGATCCACTGCTAATGTTTTCTCCATATTGATCGTCTTTTTCAAGTGTGGTTTCTTTTATCTCCTCTCCATATTGATCCACTTCTTCTAAGGCCTTCTTTTTACAGCTTTCTATTTCTTTTGTCTCTCCGGGCTGATCCGATTTTTTTTCATTTATTGTTTCCTCATGTTCCATATTTTCTTCATCCCTTTGTAGCTGCACGCCTTCCATAATCTTATCTATTCGTTTTTTCATTATAGACTGTAAAAATAACAAGTTCAAATTAATATCGAAGCAAGATTTTCCCCAGCCCCCACCACCCTTAATCTCACAGTTTAAATAACAAATTCATAAAATGAAGCCAGTAAAAAATTAAGACTCACTAGCTGATTTTTGATTTTGAGATACACAGAAACTGGTATTCTGATTTTTTATAAAACCTTGTAAAATTATAGTACACATGCAATTATTAATGTAATTCATTACAAAATGTTTATAAGACGTACAAGCATACGTGCAATAAAACTACACCAGAAAAGAGCAAAGATACCTATGTTTTGATTAAAAGTATCGTTGACACTTTATTAATAACTACGTCTGCCTATCCCTATTATACCTACTAAAGACTTAGTTAGTATACAATATATAAGAATTGAAATACATCGTTAGCTTGCCTATAATTATTAGGTATTCATTATCATACGTCTGTTTTACTATAAGTAAGTTTAAAAATTAGGTATTTTTATAAATTAATTAATATTGTTTCAAAATAGGTATTTATAAAATACTAAATAATACGACAATATTAATGAATTCTTTATAAATCAATGTAAAGTACATACAACATGTTCTTTGTAAACATTTAAAAAACAAATTTGTTACATAATTCGTGTAAAATGATACAAGTCTTACCTTACGCATCGTAGTTGTGTATTGTAACGCACGACGCACCTGTCCTGACGCACGCCCGAGACTAAAGAACCCGCGTCCCGCGTCGCCCGCGCTCTTTCTATGCGTCCCGTGGGGAAGCGGGGTGCGTAAGAGCTGCGCGACTTGTATCACTAGGTACTTTGTACTTTTTGCTAATTTAGTTCTAAAACGCAATGCAGTTTTGATTCTACTATAATAATATCATTATTCACGTAAACATGTGTGTTATTTCCTTTATGTCCTTACTAATAGAATTGATATTAAATTTGTAATCACATCAAAATTGGCTACATAAATAACGTGTAAATTGTTTGATTAGTAGTTGTATCATTAGTCACATATTTTTATGAAAATAAATTTGTGTTTGTATGGTTCATGTACAAATGTAGCACTTTTCACTAGAATGTATTGTTTAAACTTTTTAAAATTTTGTGATAGGATTTCATTTGTATCACTTTGGATAATTTGAAGTAAAAGCTTACGCTTCGCGTAAGATGTGGTAACTCGAGTCGTATTAAAATACATTTTAGAAATATAAAGATCGCTTCGGAGCACTTTGTTATGAATCAAAAAGTATTATTTTACACAATAATTTCGATAAAAAATTGCTTACTTATATCAATGAACACAAAATAAACTCATTCATTTTTAATCTTATAACAACGGGGATAAGATTGAAATTAAGTTAATTTTTTTTTAATAACTTTAATCAGGGAATATAAAAACCGATCTGGGTCGACATGTATCACTTTTCACTGAAGGTACAGATATTTTATTACAATAAAATAAATGTAAAATGTAAAATTATGTTGTTTATTCATTTCAAAACTTTAAACTATAAGTGACCTGTTATTTCATGAATATACAAAAATTGTATTACGTTTCATACCCTATCACTTAGCACTCAAAATTTGTTCCACTTTCGTGAACGAGAATTTTTTTTTTTTTATATGTATGTATAATACTGTTTGACGCAGAGTCTACTCAAATATTGTTTTATTTTAGATAAAAAATCACACAGAAAATTCACAAAACTGTGCACCAACTAGTTATTACAATTATAATGTTTCAATATAAAATTGTTCCTTATACTTAATTATGCATTTAATCATATGTTATTTCAATGATTACTTTGTATATAGATATTATTATTAGCAGATGGTTATTTTCCAATTAAAAACGGGAAGTAGATTGTTACTGTAAAGTAGGTGGTAATTATTTAGAATTAATTGATTTATTAGTGTTTGTCTGGCTCCTGATTAATCTTTTTTGTTATATGTGTTTCGTATTGGCTAATGAAGAGTAAATCTTTGAATTAGTTTTTCTTCAAGATTCTTTATTGGAAAAGTTTAACGTAATATTTCATTTTGTTATGGGATAGGGCACAAAACAGACTGATCACATGACAGTAAGCAACTAGCGCCACCCTACAGCATCAAATAAGTTGCAAGTAGGTTTGTGAAACACTGCAGAAATCTTGAAGCCTAAGCCTCTGTTTTTCGGTAATCATTATTATTTTTTTAAAGCTGGAGTGGACCCATCCAGAACGACATAAAGTCATTTGGTGATGTCCATTTAATAATATTTATTTTTTATGGATTAGGGTATAAAACAAGCAGACTGATTACCAGAAACGTGAAATACATACAGCGCAAGTAATGAAGTCTGGCCCCTGTTTTTCGGTAATAATATTTTCGTTTTTTTAAAACAGAAGGGACATCTTTTATAAGTGGCTAGTTTTTGAAAAAAGCTTAGGAGTGGGGAATTATAATCTCAGTAAAATTAAGCACCTCAGTGGCCAACTTCAGCACCTATACAGAGGCACTGGATTCCCTCTGCATAGGTATCACGGCTTCGACAGGAGAAGGACCCCGTCCTTCTCCGATGGCGATGGCGCCCCATCCAGAACAGGAGAAAGTCATTTGATGATTTCAATAATACAAAATAAATAACACATTTTAGTAAAAAATAACCACTTAAAACCCATAAATTACTTGATAATAATTATAGTTATTAAAACATACTTTATACAGAATAATTTATGTATTACTATGTAATCAGTATTTATTAGTTGCATAATAAACAAATAAACATAAATAGATAATTGTCATTCAATCAGATGCACAATATTATTGTAAACAAGTTAGTCCACGTGCTCGAAACGGAATCGAATTGATATACAAATGATCTTTTAACCTCCGCACTGACACAGTTACATTATTAACAATTTGCATTTTAAATTAATTAAATTAATATAAATATTGTTGGTGTTATTATAAAGACTTGTTTTTCATTCTAAACAGTGATGGAACATCGCGCAACATTGAAATCACCCAGGCTGTTAATAAAAAATACACTTTTCAATCGTTGAGTAGTCATACGCAAGTTTTTCATAAAGTCATAAAAGCTGAGAGTTAAAGGCAAAGTCAAACCCATATATTCCAACTAAACCATAAATAAATAGGTACTATTGAAACGTCAAAATAGAGCAGTAGTCTGTCAGTCTGTTCGTCAGTGAAGATTCGCTGAATTTGGTACTCGTTTCAAATTGTAGATTCGAAGGGAGAAGAATTAAACTCAATCGTTTATTGAGTTTCTTTCTAAAATTAAAATTAAAAAGGATTTTCGGAACGGCTGGTTTTATAAAAATGATATGTTTTAAATAAATTCTTCATCGGTTCATTGAGCTGCACTTGAGTTGAATGAACTGTATAAAAATCAGTAGGTACCTGCGTTCCAACTGTCAGGCTATTTCCTCTTCTTGACCCAAAGGGCCATGACATTCTCGAAATAAAAATGTTTCGTAGGTACATACACGTACATAAATGGAAATTAATAATTAATTATCATCCATTCAGGAAATACATGCTTCAGCAGCAGTTTCTTTTAATTATAGGCATTATAGTACCTACTTATAAATTATTTATCAATACTTTATTTATTGGTGTGCATTTAAATATTAAACATTATGAAAAATAAATGTAATTATGCAATTTTGGATCACTTGAAGCCCTTGTATACCTATTCGTTATTGACATTTTTGCCTTCGGTATTTAGAAATGGTGAAAAGCTTGTCCAAGTTGTTTTTAGCCAAGCCTTCAGCACGAATGGATCTGCTCGATAGGAGTGATACCATGGCCTCAGAGAAACCACCATAGTATTGTATTTCGGAGTGTGAGTTAGGTTATCGGATGCCCAATCCCTCCCCATCCCACATCCTTTCCAAGTCCTTAAATATCCGAAAGCATTATTCCTAGAAGACTGCACTCATAACTCTTTTGGAGTTGCGGCTGTCGATGTGCAGCGCTGATTGCCTTATTTGCGGACCATTAAAAAGTTTTTTAAGTCTGATGTCAAGAGCATTATGAAAGTAAAGTAGGTACAGTAAGTAATATTTACTCGAATATTTTGAAAACACTGTAGTGTTCGCCATTTATGCGTCTGTAATGTGTGTAATGTGACAGGAAATTATTCTAAACACATCGCAATGATGTCAAACCAGCAGTTTGTATAAACAATAAACTATCGTCAGTGAAAGAGACGATTAAAAATGTTTTACAGGTTTTTTATTATGTATTTTTAATTTTTTTAGATCTTAGTTGAGCAGTCAGATTGTTTTACGTCTTATCAAAACAAAAGGACCAAATACAAAAATTATAGCTAATATAACACAGAAGTACTCACGGAAGTACTTTAAATCTTTTGGAATCCATTTTTATTTACATATGATCTAAAAATTATATAAAATAAATTCGAAGAAAAATACTTTCATTCTCAAGGACATTATGAAGCTCAGAAGTCCGAAAAAAATAAAAAAATAACAAGTCAAAAGCATTAACCTTAAGTATAAATATTCCTCGTCCTTTAAGAAATGTCAATGTGATATTTTGAAACAATTTCTTCCGCAACTCTTTGCACAATCGGCGCTTGCGCACGATAAACGTACGTACCACATAGATTGTTAGATGAGTAAAATATAGTCGTCTTTTTCAACTTGTTAGGGGTATAATACAACCACCATAGTATATATAGGGCTGATGTTCAGATTGTTCCCGCCTGGGTTGCGGGGTAAGCGCAATGAGACACTGTGACCTTAGCCCAGAGCCGGAGAAGAGACGGGGGGGAGGGGGGGGGTTAGTCAGTAAGAGTCTGATACTCCCTCCTGCCCATCCTCCATCGCTCATGTCTCATTCCAAATAAAAACAGTTTTCTTTCTTTTCTTTCTTTCTTTCTGCCTGATCCTGGGCGGGAGAAGTCATTTGATGATTTTCCCCTCCCAAAAAAGGGGTTATAATACAGACAATTTAGTAAAAATAAATTAATTCGGAATTTAAATGCTATAAAGTATTACACCAATCACAACAACTGTCATTGAGTTTATATTATAATATATTATATTTTCTAATCGATCGATACTCTTTGTTCACTTTTTTTCAAAATATGTTACTCAGAGAGGTCTTTGTCACTTGTTCTTTACCAATCGGGTCCTCACATACATAAGTAAAGTTCAGGAATAGCATATTAAGTTAAGAATTTTGAATAGTCGCCTCATTGTACATGGCTGCTTACTCCTTCGGGGATTAAAAGGCATAATGTTATATATTCAGACATGTTATATGCAAAGTAAGACGTGAAGCATGAAACCTCACGTGATGATTAATGAATACACTAAATCCTTGTTCGAGATTATAATCACGCAGATTAACACCTACATACTTAATAATATGAAGTGTATACTATTATTTACGACTTATTTCAATGTGGAACTGTATAGTTTGAGGAAAATGTACTTGTATTATAAATTATTATAACAATTAATTGTGTGGGAGAGCCGTGCTTTGGCACAAAAAATAGATAGGTACCTACACATTTCAAGTACGGAAACTCAGATTTTTTTGAGAATATATTAAATAATTAAATAAGTAGGTCCAATGATCGAGAAAATATTTGTAAATACAAACTAGGATAATAAAAAATCTATAAACACTCTTACCTGCATACCTATCCGATAATAATGGAGACGTTATACTTTAAATATGTATTATGTTATACTATGTTATAATATATACCTTATATTAATATGTTACACTGTAACTTATGATCCACTTTCAGAACAACATCAAGCTTCATCCACACAATGTCAGTCGGTCATGACGTAATAAGGAAAACAATGAATTTAAAAACATTGTCCAACCTAATGATGCACATTGATGACATTAGTAATCTTATCAGATGGCTGAAGAGCCAGCGGCCACAAGTGACAGTGTGACGTCACGCCGCGACCTTGACACGACCTTGTCGAAGAAACGAGTTGTTTATAAATATTCATGGATATTTTTGGAGCTCCGTGCCGTGCTTTCTTATGCAATCTTTCTTATTCTTTCTTTGTGGAAATTAGGAATTGACTGCAACAATACTTACAGGATCTTTCTTGTGTGGAGAAACGCTTTCAGGTATTACCTTATACCTATCTAATAAATATCTAGTCTCTTTTTATACATTTGCCTTTGTCCACGTTTCACTAATTGTAAGTCACCCACTGGGTCAACTTTCCAATACCATACTCTTAATAAGAAACTGTCGATTTTAAAATTTCATTGTTCCCTTGTCGAAAATATCGGGTTAAGTCAAAGTCAAAATCATTTATTTCAATGAGACACTTACAGGCACTTTTGAACGTCAAAAAAATTTTAAATATACGTATGTAAGTGTCAGTCTGTCGGTCAGTCCTCTAGTGAAGCCATTTGCTCGTTCCAAAGTGTAGATTCCGGTGGAGAAGAACGAGCAAGAAACTCCATGGTTACTCTTTATAAATCGGTTTCACATAAAGATAGATCTTTTATTTATTAATTGTTATGTTTGATTATGTGAGAACAGTGTAACACTAGTATTTATTCTGAGAAACCTAAAAAGGAAATAACCTTAATGACAATTGACAGTCCGGTGCTGACCAGTCCCAGTCCTAGTAAAAGAAACCCACCCGAGCAATGAGACAATCACAATATTCCTTAACTAGCTTAAGAAGCATCAATAATTAATACAAAAATCACAAACATAATAACTCAAGAGAAATGGCCGCCACATCGGAAGGTAGATTAGCCAAGCATGGCGCCCAGTGTGTCAAAACGAGTTGATCTGACAACCGTTGGGCAACCATGTGGCAACTGGAGACTGTGCGCTGCAACCGACACTGGCGACCAGTTGCAGCGCTAGTGGAAATATTATCTGTACTCTTTAAAATGTGAAAGGGTAGCGGGGTCTTGTTACATTATATGGGGCATAAGAGAAGGCGTTTCTTGGCAAGACAGATGGTGGATGTCGCTCGAAAATTGTATAATTCCCTGCACTGTGATGCTTCAGGTTAATTAGAACACTATTACGTATCGTTTTTGGTATTTCTTATTTCCTACCTACTCTAATTTAAAACATTTGCCCACAAAAACATTGATATTGTTTTCGCTCTAAATCATATTGTTTTTTTTCAATGTAATCGTAAAGTTATGGTTTATCCTCCTTTCATTCAAGTCTACATTCAGTTGAGCAGTTGAGTAATTGTGACCTTGCTAGTTGCCATTGCAATTGAAAGTAGTTAATTGTTTTACTTTCATAGTGATACTATTTCGAGGCAGATAGACTAGTGGGAGATTCTTGGTTGTTGATGAGACTACTACAAAAATAATACAAAAAATAAAAGGGCAACAATAGAGTTTCTTGCTCGTTCTTTTCCATATGAATATACCTACACTTGGGTATGAGTAAATAGCTTTACTAGAGACAGACCGACAGACTGACACACACAAAGTTAAGCTTCTCGTGATTTTTTTTGTTTGACGTTCAAGAGAGCATAAAGTAGTCTATTTGTAAAAAAAATATTTGACTTTGACTATAACATCAGCGAGAAATCCGAAGGGATAGAGAAAAGGAGAGATGAGCAGATTTTGAAATTCTTCACTTGCAAGACAGAGAGCGACTAGAACTGCTGGACGATTACTGTGAAAGCTTTCAGTCCTATAGGGCCCCGTCTGTATTGGCTCTGTGAGACGCGCGCGGAACGCTACGCGCCGTACGCTAGGGTCTGGATCTGTTCGGCCGGCAAGCTACCCTTACTCGCCGTCCGCAGACCCAGAGAGACCCCGACGCCCAGAGTAACATACATACTAGGAAGAACACATTGTGCAAAGAATTAATATATGTCCTTCTGAGGAGCCAGTCGCTCGGCGTGCGTTTATGCAGAACAGATTTCCATTCAAACTTCTAAGTCCAACATTTCGGAAACTACTAAATTATTTATAATATAAAAACGTAACGCAATACTCATATAATGTAAACAAGCAGCAAAAATGCAAAGAGAAAGAAGACGAACTAATTATAAATACATTTTATAATGCTTAACCTTCACAAGTAGCCGCAGGTGCGCATGTGGTAACCGATAAGTCTCCAAACAGCACAACCTTGGGACCTCAAGCCACTTGAAGTTCGTAATTTTCCGCGGTCTAAAGGGGGGGGGGGGGACCTTCTCTATAAGTGACTCAACGCGTTTCCCAATTACGTGGTTTATTTGCAAGTGAAAGAATGAATTAACAATTTATTCGTCTATTGCACAGACTGATGATAGCTCTTGATAGTTACTGGCCATTAATTTGATTTTGTTAATGAGTCGTATGGCTGTCTTGCCCTTCATGTCATAGTGCAGCTTATCGCGTTAATTAGTACGTGTTTTCAGGAATATAATGCATCTTCTAGGGTTTTGAAGGTTTTTGCTTCTCCTTTGGTACAGTAGATATAATTCATAATTTAAAGTTGAATGTTATTCTGCAAGCAATGTCGAGGGTTTGTTTCGTCGATTTTATTAAAATATATTTACCCCTACAGTATTAAAATATAAGTGAGTCTCCAGTCGCAATAAAGGTCACCCACATACATATAGCGCAAATAAAAAATGTTATTTTTTAATTCCAAGTTTTTCAAATCTTTCCCTCATACATACTCATATATCCCCCCGTGGACGTGTTTACAAATATGTAACTTTACTTTACATCCAACCTGGACAAATAATTTGTGATTTGCACAAAGATTTTCTGCCATTTTTAGCCCAGCCAAATTAAGTTTGTATTCGCAATATTTTCTTTCATTCATATGCAAATCGCTACACATTTAAAATATGAGTAATTGGTCATAGAAAAACAAATAGGTAGCTGTCATAATATCGAGGCGTTGGATGTAGCAACGTAATTACCTAGATTTGAGCAATGCACAATCATAGCGCAGATGTAACACCTTGCGAGGTGTTTAGTAACTGTTTAGACAACAACGTACCTTCATATTTGCCTAGTAATGTACATGTTCTCAATGATAGGGGATCCCAAGAAGGGATTTCGGTAGGAAACCGAACTCGTTAGATTAATATATACCTATTTCAAAATCTGCCAATTTTTTCGCAGTTAGAGACTGCGAAGAAATTGGCAGATTTTGGGGTTTTTTTCAGGAGGTTTGCGAACTACCCGTTCCTATTTCTTCACTCTTCATTATCAGAGATAAATGGAGCAAATTGCTACATTTTCCGCAACCCTCGAGCACGAAAATAAAGTTACACTTAGTAACTAATTTTGGAGAGCTAATGATTCTCCCATTCCCCACCGGCGGAAGGAATTTTCCACAAACCATATTTTTTCTATCACTACATATTCTAAAACCAATTAATACTTACGACACGTGAGAAACTATCTTGCTCCGTGATACCTAACTACAAATTAAGCATACTGGGCTCACCTCAGTGCTTTTAAGAAAAGAATAAACAATAAAATCCCCAAAAAATCTAAAAACAAACTATCAACACCAACACAAATTTTAAATGAAATGAAACAACATCTCAGAGAATCTAACTTAAGCACAACAGATACTTAAATTAAAAAATGGTACACGTTCCGTTCCTGTAGCTGCTATGGTTTTTGGAGCCAAAGTTTCGTAGCAAAACGTTATTGATAGAGGTACAAGTACCCGACAAACTCAGGTGGCATATAATTACACAAATGGTGATATTTCTATACATCTTTTTGCAGGAACGACCGTGTATCCGGAAGATGCATCACGTCAGCTCAGGACGACGGCATCTGTCGTAGGTGTGGAGGCGACAAGCACGGCGGAGGTCTGCCCTGCATCTGTTGTCCGAGAGAGTGAGTATCTACTCCATTTTCATTATAATCTTATTCTTTTGGAACAAGCCACAAAACTTAGCTGACTCAACAATTGTGCCATGCTTCGGCACAAATGGGTTGGCTTGGCCGGAGTGATACCACGGCATCACCTAAACTGTCGTGAAACAACACTTACGTTGTGATTCACCATGTGAGTAAGGTTACCGGTTGTCCAAACCCCCCCCCCCCTCCTGATCTTCTGACCTTTATCCTTAAATCCCTAAAAACCTTAGAAGCCGCCAATTGCTTACAATAAGGTTATCCGTAGCTCTTTGCTCAGTACTTAAATATAAAAAAGTATATTTAATAAAATGTATCCAAAAGGAACACTTCAGCCAAGGTAATAATATCTACAAGTATTCCAACTTCATAGAAACGGCCGAAACGCGAACTATACCTACGCGCCCGATGTCGGGGCGCGCTCGGGACGCAGACAGACGCGGCTGTACCGCATTGACGAACGGACGGTGTGTTGTCTTTTATTTAGAAATCAGGTCGAGTACATTATTTAATATGACGAATAGGAAATATATATCCTCTATATATAAATATATCCTCTCGCGTTTCATCGTAACAACTTATCAACTAATTTGATGAGGCTAAAGTAATGGAAGTTGAATAAAACTGTTATTTTTTGTCGTTTTTTAAATGTACCTAACTGTAACTATGTACGTCACGAGTGACCCTTTTTTACAATAAAAAAATGTTTCAATCTAAAAAGTATCCCAGGTTTTTTATACTCCATATTTTTTGCATATTTTTGAATTTTTCGTCCATATTTTATGTACATATTTTAGTTTTTTTATTTATTTTTCCCGAGATAAGGTCGGACAACCAGGTACTGTTCTTCTTTAATTAAATCTACCAATAAAAAAACACGCATTTTTATTGAACACTTCCTATTCAATAGGTAAGTATTTATTTTTAAATGTCTCTGTATGATATTTTTACTGTGCTTCAGCGGTGCGCAGCTAAGGCCACTCGAACTTCTAGTCCCGTAGGTTCTAATGAACCCTATGATTTATTGTTAGGTACACAAAACTATACTACCTAGTAATTATACTCCACAACCTTATTATAGAATGATTAAGGTTGTAGACCAGCTCATGGACTAATTAGCAACTGATTAACAAATCATTTACGAACATTTATAATAACTACGATTATGATTAATGAATACAAAATGATGAATGTGCGTGATGCATGGAATGGCCTTGCAAATTTTTTACTCGGAATAATGATTTTGGATGCTGCAGTTGGTAACTACGTCTGATTTAAGAGCTGCATACATAATTTCAAATAAGTAGCAAAATAATTAGACACTACTGAACTGTTTTTTTTAACTTGGTAAAACCTTGATTATGAACATTTTCGAAAAAGAGTTGAGAGAGAGAAAGAGAATTTTAATAACAGATAAGATGTTTTTCTTAATTTTCAAAAAGTTATTGAATGGAAAATCTGACCCCATTAACTCACCCGACCTTATTTGTTATGATCTGGTACCTACGAGAAATTTCATTACCCTTAGGAATCAGAGGAATCGGATCAAATCTCTGATAAGCAGGATCCTTTAATCTCTCGTCTATCGGTATATAAGACACAATAGAAATGCGTAGGGATTCACCTAGATATACGATCAGATAAGTTAACTTTAGGGGGTAAACTACTGAAGTCAACAAACTCCCTTTCGAGATGGGGAGCCACACTCTTGCAGCAGTTCATGATGATGATAAAGCTTATCCCATGTTCTATGTATTCCAGACCGGTGAAGTTCGAGACGGGCGCGTGGTTCCTGCAGCAGCTACAACGAGCCATCAGCGTGATGCCGTGGAGCATCTCCACCGAGAAACTCGAGCAGATTGGTCAGTATATACTCATTTCGTTTTTCTTCTCCTCTAATCATATCTTCTGATTTATTTCGTTGCGGGATCCAAGACAGTCCCTCATATCCCTAGAACGCGCCAGACTTCAGTGTTCCGGTGTTTTCATTGTTGTATCTGTTGTAGATCCTGGGTTACAGGAGTTGCAATTTGGGAAAAAGTACATACTCATAAAGGCTTAGTTGGAGTAAAAGTTAAGAGAAAATAATATTTTTGAACATGTCAAATAATTTACTACAAGTGAAAATGTTGGGTTCGAAAAGGCTTATAATTAAAACGTAACAACAAAAGCTATAAATCTATTACTAATACCTACTTCCTTACTTTCCTCTTTATTTACTTACTGTCTATTGACTTCTTTTACTTATCATTATCAGTCTTACACCAAAGCCTTCATTTCCAAAAAAGAATTTGGTCATAATTCTAGTAAATCCCACATTTGACAGGTTGTTGTTGATCGCACTTAAGTCCTCAAATCGATCGACGATCCCTCACTGACTATTTACAACGCAAATACATACTTCTACTCTTAATAATGCTAAATATAACCTGCCACCAATCCTGTACATAAAAATAAAAAAGTATTAAGAATGCAAACGTATTTAAATGTACTCGTTAGTCTTTATAACCTACCTTTAGGTAGTAACCTACCTTTAGGTAGGTTTTATTTATACCCCTTATTTATACCCATTATTTATGTCCCTTACTCGTACCGATTAGGGGTCAATATCCAATACTGAACACAAAAAGTTCTTAGTTAGTACCTTCTACTAGGAAGGCAGGAGACGGAACGGGATGTTTTTTAGTCAGTAAGAGTCCGACACTTCCTCCTGCCCCACCTAAGTCGGGAGAAGCCATTCGATGATTTTTCCCCCTCAAAAATACTACCTTCAATCCAATACGGGATAAATATAATGGCTTGTTTTCACAAGAACTGAATGTTTAGACCTTCCATCGACATTAGAAATAGCTCCAATACAAATGTACGCACTAGAGCAGTTCAAAAACATGTTTGCGATTTATACCTCCAAGTGTTTCCTAACATAAAATATTAGCTATGGTACACCTCTTAATTATCAAGGAAACCTTTCTAAACGTTGGTGAGCAGCAAAGGTGCCGTGTGTGGAAACAGATGTCGTGTTTCAACTATTTCTTATATCTACCCGTTGAGTGTTGCTTGTTGCGTAGTTCCTGCAGTCGCCGTCGTAAACTTACGACAGTTTGTATTTAATCAATTTAAACTTGATGATTTTATCTGAAGAAAGGTTACTACATAGGTTTAAAAAGCTTATAAGCTGGTTCATGAACTTAAGATATGTAAGTATGTTAAAAGGAAAGCTGTACTCTTTTTATCCTCTGACTAGCTACTCACGGTTTCACCCGCTGCTCAGCTCCGTTTAATCGTAGCGTAATGTTTTATAGCCCATAGCATCATCATCATCAGTGAAAGAATTTTGGCAATCCGACCAAAGCCGATTCCAAAGATTACCCCTTACATACAAACTTACAAATATTACCTTTTTATAATATTATTATAGTATATATAGTGTAAGTAGATAAGATTCTTTTTGTCGGTGGTTTGGTAACTATGAAAATGCATTAACAAATTCTTTTTCATATTGCATTTCAGACGAAGAATCTGACGAGTACAATGTCCCAGGCCCCAGCGATGCCACTCGAGGGGAACTTAAGAAGATCAGAGAATTTCTGGAAACCATCTCCGCTAAGTTAGCGGGCGGTCCGCTAGAGGGGACGAGAGTAGCGCCGCTGTACGACCACCCCGCATGTAAGTAATAGTTCTAAGTTCTAATTATAGATGGCGTTGTTTGTTTCTCAGTGATGAAAATAGATGGCGTTAGGAGCTCGAAATATAGTTAGCGCGTATAATAATACTATTGAAACTTCTTGATTTAGTAGCTGCATGACTAATAATATATTACTGATACTTTTCTGCATAAATTCAGATACCTTCAACTCTGAACTTCCCAGAATATTTTGTCAACGTCTGTGTGCATGTGTTCCATTACAAATATGTAGCGATAATATAAACTTGCGTAGATATGCGCATGTTCGTGCGATACCACGCGAGGCTGCGCGGCGCTCTGACGTCACTAGGCATTGCGCTACAAGACGCGCTCACACGTAAGCTAGAGAATATAGTATGGCATGCACTGTGACACTAATTTGAGCAATGTTTTACTATAAACAACATTTATTTCTCCTTACATCTTCTTTAAAGGTACTTCTGAAAGTGTTGCACGTTTTGTGTTGTTTTGATTGTATCAGTTATTTCGGTTTTTTGGATAAGATATTTCACATATTTGTCCACAAATCAATGCAACCCTACCCGAATGTGCATGTTTGTTTTCTTTAAAACACTGTTCGCTCATGAAACTACAATTACTATACCATAATATAATATGTACGTAATGCAGGCACCTACAATAAGCTTGGGAATTATTAACTGTTTCTTTAATTAGCACAGCCTTCTAACGACTTGTGTTGCACGTTTTATTTATTCTGTTATATTCAATTCTAGATAAGAAGGTAAGTTTTAATAGTCCAATAAAACAAACGAATCTAGTTTTGTGCGGAATCGCCGGTCACCTTAATCGTAAGTTTTTTCACTCGATGACGTTTTTGCTAGGCAACTTTTTGTAGGCGCCTTAAGATTTCAAAGTCTAGTGTGTAAAAGTAAAGTAACGTCATGTTAAAAGTTGACTATCCGATAAAATACTCATTATTAGTTCGCATTTTAGGTTGGTAACTAATCTTGAAGAAAGTCACAAACTGACAAGTAAGTATAAGTCGTTCTGTAATTTACCTACCGACAATCGAGGACTTTAAACACTAAAGCGCATTTTCATCTAAATCGTATTATATCAAACTTTGTAATCTTACATGGGTTATTCTGAAAAATTGTAAGTGCTTAAATACGAATTGGTAGGTATATTCAATAATTCAGGATGTTTGATTGTCGTCCAGTGCGGTCGAAGAGTAAACAACTTTTTTTGGCATGTCGTTCACCTCAAACATGAGAAAGACGTATTTTTATACAGTCAGCAAAAGAATTATTTCGTTACAAGCTTCAGTCAATCAGCCAAACAATTACTTCGTTCGTTAAATTTTGTAAATCACTACATGGTATAAAACAAAGCCTCTTTTTCTGTCCATATGTACGCTTAAATACCTATTTAAAAATACGCAACGGACTTTGTTCCAATTTTTAAAGTGATTCAAGAGAAAGCTTTATATGTATTGTATAATAACATCCACTAAATAGTCCAGAAAGTATCGCCATTGCACCCGTTACTGAGGCCAGGATTAGTTACATATAAACGGATAGTACCTACGATCCGAAATTTAAAATTAGACATAAGTAACCAGACTTTTTCAGAATAAGACACAAGCCGTTTCTGCAATTCTGTAAGTATTTCAAATGAATGTATTATGGTTGTGTTCTTATTCCAGAAAAAACAAAATTACTTGTTCAATACACTGAACAACACCTATTAGATACGTACACCCAAAGAAAAGTGTATACACACCTACCTAAAACACTTAAAAATACAATTAAAACCTCGTGAAAGAAGTGGGTACTATTTCACCAACCCTACATCTGGAACCATAAAACCTCATGTCAAGTTTACCGCAGTCAATGACGTCATTATTATTTAAGTTGATGTACAAATTGTACATAGCTACAGGTACTGGTTTTTGCTCAGTCAACTTTGAACCTAGCTTATTCGACAACACACACGGCTTCACAAAAACATTATATTACAACGAAATAATATACTTAGCTATCCAATATATTATTGAGTATTAATAAGAGAATATACTGACACGTTATTTAAAAAGGTTACAACAAGAATAAGGTACAAGGGCCGGCTCTACCGGAGTAGATACCACGGCTTCACAGAAAACCGGCGTGAAACAACCAGAGCGATGTGTTTCGCCGGTGAGTGAAGTTACCTTAGACCTAATCCTTCCCCTCCCCCAATACCTAAATCTCCAAAACCCTATCGCCCAAAAGATCGGCAACGTAGGTACTCGTTGATTGCTTTCCATCAGGAAACTACATATCACATAAAGAAAATGATACGATTGTTTTCTTCGAATTGATTGGCAAAAGTGCAGTCTAATAGAGAGGCTAGTTTGTTTTTATTAGGACTATGAGGAAGATTAACGCATACAAATGAAGCTTTGTATAAAAGATGTGAGTTTCAAAAGAGTTTACTTGTTCCTAAATCGAAACATTTAATAGAAAAACCACGTGCTAACATTTAAAGTCTTTTCAAACATACATTATGGGTAATTGAAACATAAGGAAGCCATTTTGATCGACTGATTGATATACCTACTTATTTAAGTAATCCGTGCATCTTACAGTTCATTAGAATGCAGTCAGCGCATTGAGTAACTAGACTATAGGTTTTTAACTTTATTGTTCCGTAATAAAGTCGAAAGTTGACAATTTGGAGTAACTTTATTGGTTCGTATCAAGAAGAAATTGTTCAAGGATTGATCATGCGATCTACCGCAGAGTTCGCTATTGTCATACAAAGTATTGTTAATTATCATTTTAGTTGGTATTCATGTAATGTGCGGCCAATAATCGTAATGAGCGTGCATTTTACGAGCAACGACCAGTGCGGATGGAGCGTGTCCGATGCGTTCGGCACAAGCTGAGTCCACCAAGATTAGTGTTGCCATTTTTAAAAATAGAATGTTCTCTTTTTTTGGTAACTTTTCTTTTTTTCTACAATAATGACAATTTCTTGTGAATAAAGACCAATACATTGGTGCGTATACTTTTTAGGGGACCTACTGTAGTATCTTAAAAGAGTTGCGGTATGTGTGTGGAACAGTCCCAATAAAATTGAGGATGTCTATGCAACTAAGCTATCACTCAATTTTGATTAAAGAAACGGAAAAAATCAGACCTTTGGTACCTCTTTCTTCCCACCCTCAATTCCCCCTTTTTTAAATCCTAACTCCTAAAAGGCAGGCTTCGCATTTGTAACAGTTGCATCAACAACAAGGTGTTGTGGGTGTCGATGGGCTGGGCTGATTGCTTACCGCCTGGTGATCCAACTGTTAGTTTGCTGCCCTGAACTATATTTTATTTAAGTCGTAGCCCCCACACTAGGATTTTCTCCTGTGTCATAGACTGTCATATACACACCACACCCACACCCGCAAAACAATTGTGGAGCACACAAAGGTTGAACCCGCGACACGTTGCATAGCAGCCAGTTGCCCAGCGACTGCTCCAACTGTGAATTCGTCTACAAAAATCATTTAACACTCAGATAATCTGACAACAAAAACTGGTAACACAGCGTGCGCAGCCGCATGTATCGATGAATTAATTAAGTATAGCAACACTGGCCACATTATAATTACCGCCAGTTCACTATGGGTCAGACACGGAACACTTCTATGGAAATGTTGCTACTTATCAGTTTTTCTAACAGGTAAAAAAATCTTCCATAGTTTCTTTATGAAGAAGAAAGTATTAAAATTTATCAGAAGACGGATTTTGCGTTATAATTGCGTTGTTGATTGGTTTGTGTATTAATTCACTGACATTAAAAACGTACATAGGGAAAGAATTACAGACCTTGAGATTGAAAAATCCGTGGAAAGAAAGATTTTGTTGGTAAGGAGAGAACCAAGGAGATAACGAGACAGACATACAACAACTAAGGATGCTATATAATTACATAACACCAGAGATGATCAATAGTTATATTTTGCAGATTTAGGGGTTGGGGGAGGGGAAGGATTAGGCCTAGGGTAACTTCACTAAGAGGACTGACCGACAGACTGATACTTTAAGCTTTGTTTGACGTTTAAACGTCTCTGTAAGGGTCTAATTGTAATGAATGATTTTTAATTTGTCTTTGAATACGCACACGGCGAAATAAAACGCTGTGGTTGTTTCACGTCGGTTTTCTATGAGGCCGTGATATCACTCTGACTGAGCGGACTCTTTCATAACATGGCATGGCCTTTCCACATTTTCAGGCAATTATCAGTTGTTTCACTTTATAAGCTAGGCTTACGTATCTATTTTGAAATAAATATTAAACTACAACTACACAACAACAGCTCTTAAAATCTTGTCTCAGAAGTAAAAAACTTGTTACAAAAATTTTATCTCTTGTAGCAAAAATTAAGTATGGCTGACAACTGACAGTATCTCCCATTGTATGACTGTGACCGGACAATGGCATTGAATCACTGAATTAACAAAAGCTGGCTGTCAACTGAACAGATTTGTAATTTTCAAATTAACTCTTCATGTTAATTTTCTTTAAAAAACTAAAATTCAATGTGTCTGGAAGCAATTAATATCAGGTGTCAGTTCCATTCCCAAACTCAAGCAGAAATTTCAAACAGTTAGAGTTGTATATTATAAAGACTACAATATTTTTTTTAATCACAACATAATCAAATCATGATTTTAAACAAAAAACATCTTCAGAGTTAGGTATTAGATTCAGAAACTCTTGTCTTTGAAATCATTTTGTTTGGTAACTATAATAAGGAGCGCGGGATAACTGCAATGAGAAAACGTGGCCTCGGTCTACAGCAGGAGAAGAAACAGGGATTTTTAGTCAGTAAGAGTCTGCCACTTCCTCTGTCCTTGCTCTGGGCGGAAGAGCTCATTAGGTGATTCTCACCTAACATCAGTGTAAAGCTTGCAGGAAAGATATATAGTATTTAAATAACCATTATCACTTTTACCTTTCATTTCACCTTAAACATGTGTTCTCGACACATGCGCACGAGTGTCATATAATTACATTGGCTTGACTAGTGAAACTTGTATGTACACCCCAGTATTACGCACGCGAGACACACAATTAGGCCAAGTATAAAATAATTACCATTAAATCGTAATTATACACAACGTCAAGTAATCATACAACTTTTTATCTGACTATTTATCTTATTAGTTTCTGTTTTAAATGTAAAATCATTCGGTCATTTCAATAGACTCTAAACACCTTAGAGTCTGGAAAAAATGTGATTCCGAGATGAGCCAATTGATTTTGGTACTCTATAAACTTAAGCATAACATTGTACCCGAGCGTACGGCGCGTAGCGTTCCGCGCGCGCGCCTCAAAGAGCCATTAGACCACCACAGACGGGGCCCAATAGGGCT